GCCCTGCAGGAGGATGCCCTGGGGTCTGCAGGGGAGCAAAGCCCTGTGCGAAGGGGGCTCAGAGCCGGGTGCCGGCCCGGCCCTCGGACCATGCCAGCGCCAGGCAGGGAAGGAGGAGCGGAGGCAGGAACTGGCTGAACTCGTCACACCGGTGACATTCGGGAAGGGTGGCTGTGAGCTAACCACGATGTCCAGGCTCTAAGGAATGCACCCAGGATCCCTCAGGGGAGCAGTCCTTAGGTGAGTCACGGCACGGACACGCGGATTTAGCCGGGATTTCAGCCCAAGCCTCCCGTAATTGCATATTACAGAGGGATGCTTAAAGTAATCAGCTGTTCCAGCCACGCCGGCTGCGGGGGGAAGGGAGGAGGGCTGGAGGGGTGTCCGTACCTCCAACCCCTCCTTGGATTACAAGGCAGAAATATGGGGCACGCAAACAGCCCGGGAGCGCTGGCTGCCCCTTGGCAGGCCGGGTGACACTGCTCCGGCCGGGCCGGGCTCCGGCAGCGGCAGATAAGGAGGGCAAACACGGCGCGGTGCCGGAGAGGGCAAGGAGCAGCACCCCGCCGGGGCTGCGACCCCGTTCCGTGCCCATCTGCCGGCACAGGGAGGGTGGCACGGCACCGAGCTGCTGGCGGGGGAACGGCAGCGCTGAGCTGGGGCGAGAACTCCCAGGGAGAGATACCGCAGCTCCCAGCGCCTCCCCGGCACCGCTCCAAGCCACCGGCCCACCTCCAGCCCTGGCCCTCCCGGGGCCGTCCCCGGGCACCGCCGGTGCGACGGGACCGGCAGCAAGGGCGCCCCGTCCTTGGCTTCCCTCGGCTCCTTGTGCAACACCGCGAGGCTGCGGTGACAATGGATTTCTTTTCCTCCTCTCCTCAGGAAACGCCTCTGCCAAGGCTGTCCGTCACTCCCCTGAGCACCTCGGCATGCCGGCGGAGGATTTCAATCAAATTTGTCAGAGCCATGGTGTTTCTCCAGGCTGGAATGTGTGTCCGGGCGCGGGGAGCCGCCCAGGCGAGGGAGCAGCGCCTTCCAGCCCAGCAGCAGCTCGGCCACGTGCGGCCAGCCCCGAGAGGAGCCGGGAAGAGCAGGCTCTGGGGAAGCCGGAATGCACCAGCGGATCTCCTCGTGTGATGGCTCCGGAGGGACGGGAATGCCCGAGCTGCTCATTCCAGGCTGGATCCAAGAAGCCAGAGGTGAGACAAGGTGGTTGTCAGGGAAATCACGGAGCTGTTAGCCAAGAAGTCTGTGGCAACCTGTGTTGAGAGCCGAACAGAACAAATACTCCGTGTACAAAGGGGAAAAAAAGCTTTTTAAAGGTTCCTCTGCCTGTGCACACAGAAGGTTCTAACCCAGAGGGTGGCTGGACCCTGGAACGGTTCCCAGGGAAGTGGTCATGGCACTGGGTCTGCCAGGGTTCAGAAGAGCTCAGACACCTCTCAGAAGCACACGAGGGGCTGTCCTCGACGCTCTGCGTGGTTCCAGGGCATTGCACAGCTCCAGCAGGAGCTGAAACCCTCCCCGGGACAGGTGAGGCTGAACCCGGCCGGCAGCAGGGCCGGGTGGGTGGCAGAGCAGAGCCCTGCCCGGCTGCCAGGGGCAGGCAGGGCGCTGTGCCAGCCCGGAGCCCCGGGGACACACCAATGGAGCGTTTGTCCCGTGCCCCAGCGCCTGTACACGGCCAGAGCAGCCACAGACAGGCTGTTCTCTCCTCTGCTGCAGCTCCAGGAGCAGCCTTCGCACCCAGGGACGAGGAGGAGGAGGAGGGCAGCCAGGGAGAAACACTGGCACGCTGCAAGGAAGAAGCTAAATAGAGAGATGAAAAGGAAATGTAAATGCCACGCTGGGTCCAGCTGGTGCCCGCAGACCGGGGACGGCTGGAAGCAGCAGGGCTGCAGCAAGATGCCTCATGCTGGAGTCAAGACAAATTCCTGCCGTTTCAGTGAGCTTGGAGCACGGCCAGGCGTCCTTCCAGGAGGAAAAGCTGCAGCTGCAACAGCCGCATCCAGCCCCAGCAGTGATCCTGCTCCGCAAGGCTGAGTATTTTTGGATGCTTCTGCAGCCCGGAGCGGGCACAGCGCTGTGCGGAGGGGCTGCGGGCACGTGCAGCTCCGTGCCACCGTGCCACCCTCGCTGCTCCCAGAGCGGTGAGCGAGCTGGCAGTGCCCAGGCACGGGGCTGAACACGGGCACTGCGTTACAGAGCACTGCTCTGGGGAACAGCCACCCTCACACACCCGAATCGGAGCCGGGCTGAGGGAAGCACTGCAGCAGCACCTGAGCCTGAGCTTCACCCAGCACAGCCTCAGGCACGTCCTGACTCACCCATCACCCCTCTGCTCAAAGAGGAAAATAATGACAGGCTACAGGCTGTGAGAAAATATATAGTTTTTTTTTTATTTGCCAATTAACAAAAGAGGGATCGGAATCTCGGCTGTAAACATTGATAGCTCCTTTCTGATCACAACGAGCACTTTCCACCAACATCCCTTTGTACGGCCTGATCCAGCCAACAATGCTGAGCTGACTGTCAGAGCTTTTGTTGCTCTGCTCAGGGTCACAAATCCAGAGGCAGTTTATTCACCACACACCCGCAGCAGGACCAGCCACCCACACAGAAGACAGCTGAGGGACAAGAGGCTTCAGAGCTGCTTCCATACGTGAGACACACTTGGAAAAGGCAGGAGATCATGCTGGGCTCGGGCCAGAAAGAGGGAAACGCCTCCAAACCCAGCAGGTCTGGAGAGAAATGAGCCCTGCAAAAGGCAGAGCCTGCTCAAGCAGGGCCAGGGACTGTGACTGTGACCCAGCCTGAGCACCCCGGCCCTGGTGTCAGAGGGAAGCTCTGGCCCAGGACCGTGACAATTTGGAGACGCAGAGCCAGCGAGTTTGTCCCAAAGAGGGACTGGCACCTCGTCAGCTCCATTGTTGCAGTGGAACCAGAACTGCCTGGAGCTCGACAGGGGAAGTGCAACTTCATCTTGGGCTGGAGGGCAGCCAGGGCTGGAGGAGCTGCACCGGCTGCCAGCCCCGCACTCGGCTTGTCCTGGGCCAGAGCCCTGCCAGCCCTCAGCCTTCCCTGCAGTGGGGCAGCTGCACACCAGGGGCGAGCCCGAGGGCTCCAGGCACCTCTGGGTGCTCGCGGCAGGGGATGGAGCCGTGGGGAGGCAGCAGGGAGGGTCCCGGTGCCACCCCAGCATGGGCACCAGGCTGCCAGCCCGGCCAGCCTCCTCCTGCAGCACCAGGGAAAGGGAAGGGGCACAGCACCAGGGAAAGGGAAGGGGCACAGCACCAGGGAATGGCATTTAACAGAAAGCCCAAGCTGCAGGAGGGAGCCACAGCACTGCCCAGGGCTCAGAGCCACTCTGGCACCGAGCAGACCCAGAACAGGGGCTCAGCCTGCCCCTTCCCAGCTGCCCAGATGGTTCTGAGCCAGGTTTTTGGTGGGAACAGGGTCAGGTCATCCACTCATCACAGCACCCGGATGGACAAGCAAATAAAAATAATCAACGAATTTGAATACACTGTATTTATTTGTAACAGATTCTAAAGAATCTAGTGAGTCTATGTCAAGCCCATTGCATGACAAGTGATACAGGTGTAGGAAAAAAGACATTTAAAACAAACAGAACAACGGAAAAAAAATATATCAAGTGCCATTCAAGCTACTGGAATCTTCCAATTGCCCCCTCACAGGAGGGGACAGCACAGTATCACTGCAAGGTCTAGAAAATTCAGGTTCAAGCCACTCACAAGAGTCCCACCCCACACACTCCATAAATCCAAAGTGCAATCTCAATGGTAGGTCGCCCTGTCCAGCTGCTGGCTGCAGGGGATCTGCTTGGACATCTCCAGGGGAAGGAGGGAATCTCAGTTTAGTGTGTCTGTGGGTAGGAGCAGCCTGTAAAAAACACGCTACATGGCATCTACGTTCAGTTCCAAATGCAAGGAAAAAAAATCTCATCTTCCTCGAAGCCAGGGGAGTGGCACAGGTCGGCTCCCAAAAGGAGCCCCCAGCAGTTTTACCTGCATGGGAAGCCCCAGCTCCCAGCAGGGGGATGAGGCTGTGGGGCAGGCAGAGCTGAGCTGCAGGAGGCAGCTCAAACCTGCAATCAGCACAGGGGCAGCACAGGGGCAGCACAGGGGCAGCACAGGGGCAGCACAGGGGCAGCACAGGGGCAGCACAGGGGCAGCACAGGGGCAGCA